AATTCGGCTGACTTTACGAGTGTTAACACTCGTAACTGGACCTAAGTAAGACTTATGTTTAAGCGAATGTTCTCTTGAAACTGAAAACATTAATAATAATAATAATGATAATTATATTTCTATTTATCTTTTTTTCTATACTATCTAACTATCTATCTATCTATTTCTCTATATCTATCTATCCATCTATCTATTTATCTATCTATCTATCTATCTGTCTATCTATTTATCCATCTATATCTATCTCTATATCTATTTATCTATCTATCTATCTATTTATCCATCTATCCATATTTCTTGCAAATGCAAACAATTAATATTACATTAATTTTTATATTAAAATATATTTTTTATATTATATATATAATACTATATATAATACTGTAACATGCTGAATTAATAATTAATAAAATTCAACAGGTTATACTATAAAAACAAACACTTACGTAAAAAAATTATTATTTTATTAAAAAGTTTGCATTTATTTTTTGACGGAGATCACCATTTTCTCGCGGTTTCCGTTGAGCAACAATATGCACGTTATCTATTCGTAAAATTAAATAACAAAGTCGTAATTGAAATATGTGTAGGATATACGTAGCTGTTATTAGATCTCTTATTTACCAGGTGTGTCGGTAATTCCTTTCCGGTTTTTTCGCTAAAGAAAACACGTTATTTACAATGAATAGTTAAAATATATTTACTCAAAGTATTGGCCATTTGATTCTATACATTTTGCCCATCTCTCAGGCAATTTATGGATGCCATTCCAGAAGAACTGTTTCTCCTTTGAGCTAAACCATTCATCGAGCCATTTTTTAACTTCTTCGAAATCGGCGAAGTACTGTTCTGCAAGCGCGTGCCCCATCGATGCGAAAAGGTGGTAGTCGGATGGAGCCAGGTCTGGAGAGTACGGCGGGTGCGATGAAACTTCCCATCCAAGTGATTTCAACACTTCTTTGACTGGTTTTGCTGTATAAGACGGCGCGTTGTCATGCTGCAAAATCACCTTATCATGTCTTTGAGCGTATTGTGGACGTTTTTCGATCAATGCACAGTTCAAATTGATCATTTGTTGTTGGTAGCGATCAGTATTAACTGTTTCTCCAGATTTCAACAGTTCATAATATACGACACCAACCTGGTCCCACCAGACACAGAGCATGATCTTGCGACTAAAGCGATTTGGCCTTGCAGTCGATGGGCCTTCGCCAGGTGATAACCATGATTTTTTCGCTTGGGTTTTTCGAAATAAATCCATTTTTCATCACCCTACTATTCGATGCAGAAATGACTTCCTTTCATACCTTTGAAGCAGCATTTCACTGACGATTTTTCGATTTTCCAATTGCCTGTCATTCAATTCATGTGGCACCCATCTTCCCATCTTTTGGATCTTTCCCATCGCTTGTAATCGTTCACAAATTGCTACTCGGCTCACATTCAACTTTTCTGCCAATTGTTTTTGAGTTTGTGTTGGGTCTTCATCCAATAACTCCTGCAATTCCGCATCTTCAAACGTTTTCGGCCTACCAGGACGTTTTTTATCTTGAACGTTGAAATCACCACATTTGAATTGTCAAAACCACGTTTCACATGTTCTTATGGTTGGAGCAGGCTCACCGTAAGTCTCTACCAGCAAACGATGACTTTCAGCGGCTTTTGTCTTTTGATTAAACAAGAAAAGTAATGCGTGCCGCAAATGCACGTTTTCAGGCACAAAACTCGACATTTTCAAAAAATTATTAATCTATAACGCTGTTATTTTAGCGGAACGAAACTTGTGTAGTTTTGAGGTTAATGTCAGTAGAATAAAATTACATATGTATCAAATAACATTGCATACTTATGGCTAGTGACATCTGTTACAAAAACCGGAAAGTAATTACCGACATACCTGGTATATCAAAATGATACTTTTACTTGTCAGAATGATTGCCGCTTGGAAGAGAGACTGATAAAATGATTTATTAACAATAGTGCGTAGAAATTTATTCTTCTGTACCTCGTTACATTCTACGACACGGCAATCTCCTCAGGCCGTGTCAGAACCACGTCCGTCAATAGAATACCTAGGCACTTGCCTGGCGATGACCAATGTCCGGAAGTACAGACTTTGAATACCCCAAAAGCCTCGAAGCTCACGGATTACAATATAAACTCCAATAAACGAAGAGCGCAGAAGACGAAGGCAGAAACGAATCAATAATTGCCAAAAGCCGAAAGAGCACCACGATTGAAAAGATAAGGCTATAAGCCGAAAAGCTAAAGAGCTCGAATATTGAAATACTGCTGAATCCAATAATCATCGTCTACTCTCGTCTCGGAATATATATATACGAGGGTGGTCTGATAAGTACTTAGCCTACAAAAGAAAAACGAAAATTTTGGAAAAGTGGCGATTTATTTCTCAACATAGTCTCCTTTTAGCTCGATACACTTGACCCAGCGATGCTCCAATTTCTTTAACCCGTCTGAAAAATACGTTTTCTCGAGGTCTGCAAAGTAGGCCTCCGTGGCGGCGATGACCTCCTCATTCGACTCAAATTTCTGCCCGGCGAGTGACTTTTTCAAGTTTGGAAACAAAAAAAAGTCGCACGGGGCCAAATCTGGAGAATACGGTGGATGGGGCAGCAGTTCGTAGCCCAATTCGACCAATTTGACCGTGGCGAGGGCGGAGGTGTGAGCCGGTGCGTTGTCATAGTGGAAGAGCACTTTTTTCTTCGCCAAAGGAGGCCGTTTTTTCTGCAATTCGGCGTCGAATCGGCCCAATAATTCGGCATAGTATAGCTCTGTGACCGTTTTGCCCTTCTCCAGGTAGTCGATGTAGATCACACCTTGTGAATCCCAGAAAACGGTGGCCATCACCTTTCCGGCCGATAGGACAGTCTTCGCCTTCTTCGGACTTCACGTTCGCCGGGTGAAGTCCACTGTTTCGACTGTTCCTTGGTCTCTGGTGTGTACCAGTGGATCCATGTTTCGTCGACGGTCACGAAACGACGCAGAAACTCCTTCGGATTGCGCTTAAACAGCGTCAAACACTGCTCTGAAGTGGTCTCACGGTTGCGCTTGTTGTCCGGAGTGAGCAAACGCGGCACCCATCGCGCCGACAGCTTTCTCATGCCCAAAATTTCATGCAGGATATGACCCGCGCGGTCTTTTGAGATGCCTATTGTCTCAGCTATCTCGCGCACCTTCAATCGACGGTCTGCCAATACGAGATCATGGATTTTTGTCATGTTATCCTCCGTGGTAGCCATTTTCGGGGCACCTGGGCGTGGCTCATCAAAAACCGACGTGCGACCACGTTGAAACTCGTTAAACCAATTTTTGACGGTCGCCATCGAAGGAGAAGAGTCACCGTACACAGCATCCAAGCGCTCTTTGATTTCGCTGCGCGATTTCCCTTCCAAAAACAAGAATCGAATCACCGACCGATATTGCTCTTTTTCCATTTTTCTAAAATCCGCGGACACGCCCGCTTCCACACGCGGTCAAAACAAAACCTACGAGTCCGATTCGGCTGAAATTTCGACAGTAGCCGTCTACGAGAATGTACTACACGATAGTAAATTTCTCTTGCGATAGTGGCGCCATCGGGCGGTGAGGCTAAGTACTTATCGGACCGCCCTCGTATACCTCACAGAGGTCGCGCGGTTATTATTTCTAATATTGCCGGGTATGTTGCTTACATCAGATGGCTACACTAACACTTTCCCGCGGTCTGATATCTTACAATATGATAATAAAACTAATTTCTTTTTTTACTAGACTAAATTTATTTTTGCTACGAAAAGAAAAATGTAACAATGGAATATCTTTTACAAAACAAATAACATTTCATTTAATTTTTAATTTAAATTTACTAGCATAAATAAATTATTCTGTCATATACTTTAATAACAAATCATTTTTAAAAGATGTATATATTGGCTAAGAGTGGATTTCTATTAACTTTTCGTCTCTCATTATAATTCTCTCTTCTTTATTTGTGCATTAATACTAAATATTCTTTATATACATATACACTATATATGTGTCATTTATTTATATATATATTGTCATGTAATTAATATATTTAATCAAGCCGTAAGAACACGAGAAGAGAGGAAGAGCGAGCAAGTTCTCGAGAGAGAGAAAGAACGAGCGAGAGAGAGAAAGAACGAGGTATAGGAGTAGCAAGAAAAATCTCGCGGCTCACGCAGTCAATAAGCTAGACGAGCGGGAAAGAAACAGATAATATGTCGACGCTCGTCTAGTCTCCCATGTGCTACCTCGCGTACGTGAAAAATAATTCCTCGCTTCGCACGTTCCCTTGACACGAGACGCTACCGCGTCTTTTGATGTCTCTGGAGCATGAAAGATGAAAGAAAAGCGGAGAGATGTTCGCTTAGCGATAAGATCGCCGCTACCTCGCCTCGTGTTTACTGCCGCGCGCCGCTCAGTAGTGAGACAAAGACGGAACGATTGTCTGTCGTCTGTCTTTTTCTAATCTACTATCCATTGCATGGAAGTAGTACGGACACGAACCTAGGCGCATTTTACTTTTATCACCGCGAAAGTGCGCCTAGCGGACATAGTTTAGGCGCATTTTGGTCAGATGGCGTATTTAAAATGCGCCTAGCCGTATCCCCCGAAATATGGCCGGTGGCCGCTTTCATTCTTCTTTCTGAAGAAAAGAGTCGTGGACATTGGCATCGTAGTCCATGTGCACGGTTGTGCAGAGGGCGCCTCACACTGGGCACGGCTAAAAACGGCCCGTGACTTCTCTCCTTCTTCTCTCTGTTTCTATAGACAAAGGTCCCAGTGTAATTGGCCTGGTGGCCGCTTTCAGGTTTCTCTCTGGTTCTAGCTAGAAAAAAGAATAAACCAAAACCGTGCACACTTTGCCGTTACCGTCAGGACGAACGTAGTGTGTATATATTTTCTCAGGTGACGCGTCGGAAAAGCATCTTGCCATAACCGACACGGTGGCTGCTCTCAGGTTTCTCTTTGCTTTCTATTTTAACCTACAAAAGTCTCTTGGTCGTCTCCGTGGATGTGGTTCTTGTAGCTACGCATATTTTTTTATCGCGGGGACTGCGTACGCGTTGTCCCCGTTTTTCTTTCTACTTCATATTACTGGGAAATGACGTATGAACATTGCTGAATGCAGTCCGGAGCTATATAACGAATAAAAGAAAAAAAATATTTTAACCTATCATGTGTCACTTGTTAGTAGAAAGTAACCATAATTTGAAATTACAATTTTTTTCGAAGAAAAAAATTCAATAAAAGTAAGAAGAAAAGAAAATTTAAAAAGTAAACAGGTGAGAGAAAAAGCAAAGGAAAACGGGACGAGCGGATAAAGTGTGAAAACGAAAAGAGGACAAGGGGATAAATATTATATAGTCGCAAATATCCTTGGAGAAGGCTAATATAGCACAGTGGCAATAACTAACAAATTACGAAAGAGAACTTGTCAATATATGTATCAGTCTAAATTATATAGACCAAAATGACTCGATTCTATATTTTTCAAAGGTTATCGACATACATGGCTTATCTTTTGATCTTTTTATCTGTGACATAGAAGTACGTTAATATTTATTATCTATGCACCTTTTACTTTCAAACGTTCATCATGTCGAAGTCTAAGGTAATGTTTGTATATACTCAATAATGATTCTACATCAAATAATACTAGTTAAATTATATGTATGTATGTGTGTGTGTGTGTGTGTGTGTGTGTGTGTGTGTGTGTGTGTGCGTGTGTGTGTGTGTATAAAGTTGATAATGTAAATAGAGATGATATATATAAACTTGTATATATTTTTTATTTTTAATAAATTTTAATGTTACAAACACACTATTATTTCAGAGTGAGGATAGTACAGATAATAATTTTAAGAGACAAGGCTCTTTCAGAAAACTAGTACCTCTAAGTAATAATGGAGATTCGCCACTGAATATGTCTGTAAAAATGATAGACAGGCCAATTGTTCCACAAACCAGTAAACAACATGCTATTTTCCTGCAAGAATACAATATTCTTTCAGAATAGTAAATTTCATATATGGAAATTAATATTCTATATAATTATATCCTTTAAATATTTATTTTATATATTTTTCAGCAAAATGTTGTGTTCCCAAGACTTAAAGGGAATTTATGTAATACCATCTGCTTTAAATTCTTCTTGTAAGTAATCTTCAAAAGTTCTGCATATTGAGTTATATTTAATGCATTTGCAATCTTGCATGGTATATGGTGTATGTGTATGTGTGTACGGGTATGTATGTGTGTGTACGTGTGTGTATGTATGTATATATATATATGTATGTATGTATATACATCATACAAGTATATACTTATATATACAGGATATTTTCAAATAAGGAAAAATCTGGGAAATGATAAGGGACAATAAAACATTGTTCTTTATATGATGTGAAATTAAAGATAAGAAATAATAGTCTTAAAGTAATATATTTATTCAAAACAAAATCATATTGTTATGAGTTAAACTACACATATCCATATACTTACTGCCGACTGTTACAAAGTTTACAAAGATAAGCTAAAGATTGCCTAACATGTTAAAAAATATTTTGCTTGTTTCTGAGTATATCACAAATTGCAACGATTTCTTTCATCATATTTACAATATTAGGTGCTACAATTGTTTATGTCACTTGTATTTCTCCTGCATTTTTCACTAGCTTTCAGTACTAATCTTTGCTAAGAGACAATCAGCCATTTCCTATACGATCATATTGATAGTTCATTATATTATGTATGCTAATTGATCAATCTACCATTATTAATAACTCAAAATTTTATGTAGTCTGCAAACTGGTTACAAATTTATTGCTAAGTTTGATGTCTTTTATATACATATAGTGTTAGTATAGCTTGCATCAGACATCCTATATACAGAGTGACCAAAATTACCCGTCCACTCCTTCTAAAATGTAGAAAATTAATTTTTTGGGGATCTGAAAAATTTTTATAAATATGTCGGGTACGCTCTTTTGATCGGTGATATCAACTTCCGGCTCCGACCGGAAGTGAGTTATCAAGACCAGAAGATCATTTTTTTAAATGGAACATGCATATTTTCATTGCGGATTCCAATTGTACACATAAAAAATGTAATTTTGGTTTTAAAAATTATTTTCGAAACGTCATTTTTGATCTCTAAATGACACCTTTACATTTGAGCTTGAGTTCGGTCCGCATGAAACCCCTTTCAAACTTTAGGGACTGAATTGTCGAGAAAATAACAATACTATCTAACAGAAAATCGAAAAATACGTAAGTTGACATTATTTTCTCGACAAGAGGTGTGGACCGGGCCCAAGCTCAAATGTAAAGGTCATTTAGAGGTCAAAAATGACGTTTTCGAAAAAAATTTTTTAAACTAAAATTACATTTTTTTTATGCGTAGAATTGGAATGCGCAAAAAATATGCATGTCCTATTTAAAAAAAACGATCTTCCGATCTGGATAACTCATTTCCGGTCGGACGCGGAAATTGATAATATCACCAATCAAAAAAGCATACCCCAAATAGCTATAAAAATTTTTCAGCTCCCCAAAAAAATTATTTTTCTAAATTTTAGAAGGGGTGGACAGGTGGTTTTGGACACCCTGTATATGTATATGATTATAATCACACACATGTGTGTATATATTTTTTATTTTGTAATATTAATACATTAAAAGTAAAACAAATAACTAATTCACAGCAGGACAGGACTTCAGGACAGATGAATGTCTTTCATTCTTTATTTTTCATTCATATATTATATCTACTTTTACTAAAGTTTTAGTCTGTTTTTGATAGATGTAAACCTATTTTATAGGTCTTGCTCATCCTGATTACCACTTGTATAATGGTCTCGATGTAAATATATGCATAAGTTCTTATCTGTTTTGCTTTAATGCCATTAAAGTGACAGCATTAATTTTATTATATAATATTTGTATATTTTGTCATAGTTTGGTTTGGTGTACACTTCATTCGACAAGGGATTTACAAGGGTGGAGTATTTAGATTCAATATTACACTGCCTTCAAATTTTCCGCTTGGAGATTGTCCTGTAAGAATATTGGATTACTAATAATTGATTGTACTTGTATTTTTATATATATATTTCCTAATATGCTATAGAAAGTTATATTTGAAACTCAAGTCTTCCATCCATTAATAAATCCTGAAAATGGAGAATTGTGTACATCGTGGGAATTTCCTGAATGGAAAAGAAACAATAGGATATGGCAATTATTACAATATATTACAAAAATATTTGTTAATTTAGACACGAAGATGATCCCAGTGAATCAGGAAGCATCTGCCTTGTAAGCATGATTGCTTTATATTTGAAGCATTGTAAATAAATTGTAAAAACATTATAATATTACATACAATTTGTTCATATGTAGTTTAATTGCCATTATTACAGACAAGAACAAAATTTTGAGACTTTCCGAGAACGTGTAAAAATGTGCGTAAGAGAGAGCGTGAATCAAGTATTTAATCCACCTAACATGGACGATCCACATTATATTACATTCAGTCCATATGAAAATGAAGTACATGACCCTATTAAGCAAGAGATTTATGAGCCAAAGGTAAATGATTTATCATTATTTATATATATATTGCAATATACACATAAATTTAAATGGAATAAATGTTATATGATAAATTTATCATATTTAGCAAAATGAAGAAAAGAATAGACCATTAGGTTTATCATGGGTGCAACCTGGTTCCCTTCAGCCCTTTTCGAAACCAGAGACGAAATAATTAAAATGAAAATAATACGAAATTTGTTACTGACAATAATGAAATTATATCTTTAGATGGTAGTGAAAATGACAAAACTTATTAAGCTATTTTTCTATCTATATCTAATAAATAGTATATGAGTACGGGTTAAACAATTGTGCAAAATAAGTTAAAATATACAGGGTATCTAGCGTAACAATTCGCACAATTTTTTAGACACTTCCGATAATTTAAGGAGAAGATTGCAAAGTGAATTCTCAGCTGCTTCATATAGTCTAAGACTTACAATAACAAAAAATAAAAAAATATCTTTTCATAAAAAAATCACCTAGAATTTTTTTAAATAATACTATGCACTGTTTTACATAATATAGAAGACCTTAAGATAAATTAATTATCAAATGTAATATATTACATAGGATGTCACAGAACAATTTTGACAGAACTTGTGGGAGCGTAGAACGGATTAAGGCGAACATAAAAGTCCCATACTGCTTTGCGATATTCGCAATAATTATCTAGTTATTAATTATAGAAATGTGATGAGTAAACGCACCCAGATGAATAATTGAAAGAGTATTATAGTCACTCTGGTTACAGTACGACCTCATCGATCTAGCAACTAGTGCGACGTAGAAAACGTAGAAACGGCGAAATAAGACTAGCGCATAGCTGAATTGTTCTTCTCCTCGCCGGCAACAGTTGCTAAATCGATTGGGCTGCGCTCTTACCCGAATGACAGCAATACTTCTCTAATCATCTATCTCGACGCGTGCTCGCTTCTTAGATTTCTATAATTAATAACTCGATAATTATTGCAAACAATCATAAAACGGTAGGGGGCTTTTAGTTCGTTTAATCCGTTTTAATCTTCCACTATCAAAATTGTTCTGGAATAATATACAGGATGGTCCATTTTAATCGACAATCGGAAATATTTCGTCAGGTAAGCTAGATCGCGAAAAATGTTTCAAACAAAAGTTGTAAGGTTCAAAGGGGGACATCTGACGGTGACCTTGGTTTGACCTTGAATTGTCATTTGTCGTTTGAAGCTCACGTAAAAGTCACCTTTAAAATCCAAAATGGAACCCCCCATTTTTTATTGCATATTCTTGTAGCCTTGGTCGAGACGTTTTCAAAACACCACCTACTTTTGTCCTTTGCGTAAGCTATTCCCAAAATATGAAGCTTCAAAGTTGACATACTGTCGGCATTCGCATTATCCGATGTACATCGCGGGGAGGTTGCTCGGTCGGATTTGTACATCATAGTGGTCTTAAAAAGGACCGATTTTGTGTGTGGAGGGGGAGGGGGGCTCATTCATTATAGATGTTCGAAAACGCCGCCATCGACAGCTCGGCACACTGGAACTCGCTTTTCGAAACTTTCGATGAGATTCAGAAAAACGTTTGCTGGAATCGCTCGGCACACATTTCTGATGCGATCCATCATATCCTGTCACGTCGTTGGCGGTTGAAGATACACTGTGTCTTTCAAAAGTCCCCACAGATAAAAATATGGAGAAGTAAGGTCGTGTGATCTTGGTAGCACCAAATTGACCATCTCGACCTATCCATCGATGAGGGAAGTTTTCCAACTTGTACTGTTGATATCTCCGCTTCTACTGGGAACTGAGAGTCGGAATTTATGGTGAGAATAGGGTTTTTACAGGACTATATTTTAGCAAAAAAACAGGCCAGGGAAAGTGGCATCGAGGTGATTCCCGAAGGAAAGTAAACTATGATGTATAAATCCGACTGAGCAACTTTCCCGCAGTATATATCGGATGTTCCACAAAAATGATTTTTAAAAATGTTATAAAAAAATAAGGACCAAGAAAATAATATTATTGGATGTTATATTTTAACTTCCCAGAAACTATTTCATTGCGTGGAAAGAAATATTCAGGAAAAATTACTAATGCAAGTTTGTACAAAAAATGTCACTTTTTAATATCTTTTTAACCCCTTCCGTGACACGGACGCACCGGTGCGTCTAGATCATTTCCGTGTTGTATTGAATTCGAAGTGTAATAACTATTGTAGAATTTTTATCAAGTATTTTTTGGGTCGCTGATTACGAATTTCAACTTAGTTTTTTATAATTTGTTAATAAAAGAAACTATAATTAAATTAAAATGTCGGAAAATTGTAAATTTTTTTTCACACACGGGATGTGTCAGAATGAGAAAAGGTGAGAGGGAGAAACTGAGGAGAGACCGTAGCGTCCGATGGAGGGATTGATCGGCGTCGTTAGAACAGGGCAGCGCACAGTGGGCCAGGAGACCGGTGACACTGGCCAAAATTCATATCTTGTTAAACACATGTAAATATCTAGCAATTACATAATTATATAAGGTTTTCGGCATCGCTGATTCCATTTCTGATGTCCAAATTTCGAAATTCAAAATCCAATATGGATCCAATATGGCGGATGAAAATACTAAAAATGGTCCAAATGTGCTGAAATTTGGTATTAGTAGGTTTTCAGCGTCGTTGATTTCAAATTCGTATTCAAAAATCAAATTCAAAATGGTGGATCCAATATGGCGGACGATTATTTCGACTTTGCTGAAGTAAAAAATTTTTAATTCAACATTGAAGATTCATTATTATTATTATTATTTTGGCCGCCATATTGGAACCGCCATTTTGAATTTTGAAATTTTGACCACAGATTTGTATTCAGCGATCCGAAAAATGCCTAGATACTGAGTTTCATAACAATCACAAAGAAATATGTACAGATGGTTTTCGAGGTCGCTGAATAAGAATCTATTGTTAAAATTTCAAAATTCAAAATGGCTGATCCAATATGGCGGCCAAAACAATTAAAATCTATCTGATTGCTGTGAAACTCGGTATCTAGGCATTTTTCGGATCACTGAATACGAATCTGTGGTCAAAATTTCAAAATTCAAAATGGCGGTTCTAATATGGCAGCCAAAATTGAAGATCTATGTGTTGTTATGAAACTCGGTATCTAGGGGTTTTTCGTGTCGACGAGTATGAATTCAGTGTCAAACTTTCAAAATACAAAGTAACGGATCCAATATGGCGGCCTAAAAAATTAAATCTATCACAGATTCGTATTCAGCGATCCGAAAAATGCCTAGATACCGAGTTTCACAGCAATCAGATAGATTTTAATTGTTTTGGCCGCCATATTGGATCAGCCATTTTGAATTTTGAAATTTTAACAACAGATTCTTATTCAGCGACCTCGAAAACCGTTTGTACATATTTCTTTGTCACATTTGACTTATTACTTAATGCTGCAGTTTGGGTCCAGTTGTGCAATTTAGGTGTCCACAGCGAAGGGGTTAAGATATCTGGAGACGTGACATCGCATCGCGATGAATGAATTCAAAATCGGCAACTTTGAAACTATTCTTATCAGTTTGGAAACAAATTTGACAAAATCTCGAATTCTCGATAGTTCTTAGGATCTTCTAGCTTACTATGTATTCAAGTAAGTACGACTTACGGTATCAAATATGATTTTTCTCTGGCGTTGTAATCAAAAATCGACAAAAAGGCGCCTATTCAAGTTATAGTGCATATCCTTATAAGCAATTTGACATATCATATGATTGATTTTAGAGTGGAAGCTCAGGGAAAGTTTCATTTGAAATTGAAGAAGTGTACTATAAGATTTGAAATTATTAGTTTTATCAGACGAAACAAAGTCAATATACCATGAATGACTTCATATATTGATAAAAATAACTTTATTTGTTCAGTTTAATAATAGAAATGTACTGATATAATATCTGATAAGGAAAGATTCATAGCAAAAGGTGTACGAAAGTCATAAAACGTTTAGATTTGCAAACACAGTTTTTTACATTCAAATCTTTCCACAAGCAATACCAACTAACATAAAGCAACAATATTTCAACATTTACTGTAGGAAAGTGTATATAAATAGATAATATCACAAATGTTTGATTTCATGTAAGTTCAAAAAATTGCATTTTGGCCAACCACAGTGGACTTCTGGCCCATTGTACAGCGGCGTCATCAATGGATTTCGCGCGACGTTCGGCGTCGTTTGACCGCAGCGCCTAAAGGAATCTGAGTGTTCGGTAGTACCAAAAAAAAGAGGATGTACGACGAAGAGCGAGCAGCGGACGAGTCAGTTCGCAGCGAGCAGCAAGAGCGTTAAGAGCGATTTTATATAAAAATCGTTAATTTAGTGACTTGAGAAATGACCAATTACTTTTATTTATAATATTAAGCATTTCTAAATATTTTAGTCGCCATATTCGATCCGCCATTTTGAATTTCTATATTTTGACTTCAAATTCAGCTTCAGCGACCAAAAAAACTGAAGTATACAAATTATTGAAAAAATCCGCCCCGTCATTTTCTTGGGACGGTTTCAATGCATTTTACTGAATTTTGCTCTGCCACGGAAGGGGTTAAAAAAAGTAATGAAATAAAAAAGTTGCACTAACTGATAATGCGAAAATATGTTATACAAGACATGAAAAATGTAGCAAAGAAAGCAAATAAAATTAAAAACAATAAAACATTGAAAAATAGAATTAAGATTTAGACAAAAATATTTGGTGTACCAAGATATTATAAACTGTCAAATATATAAATAATGTTAGCACATTTAATATTAACTTTTAAAAATATAGATTGCCATTATATAATTATAAAATGTACCAACGCAATTATTAGAAGATTGAAATGTAAAATCTATTACAACTTTTGTTTTAAGGGGGGAACCTGGTTTATAGGGTCAAGGTTTTCGAATTTTTTTTTGCTTAATCGATAGAGTTAAACTATTCAAGAATATATTCCCAAAGTTTCAGAGCCCAATTCAAAGTATTTTAAAAGTTATAGAATACATGGTGAGTCAGCGTCGCGCAAGTATACGAGCGCTCGGCCGGAGTGGGCCGCGCGCTCACCGATACAGATACGTGCTATATGCCGGCACGATATTTGATTACACATTCCTATAGATTGTCACGTAGGTGTATGAGTGTATGCGTGCCTATGTGTGTGTACGTGTGTATAGTTTATAGTTTCAACGATCAGTCTTGCTCTGATTCTCGACGAGTGAAGAGTTTCTATTTAGCAAAAGTCGTTTGACAGTTTTAAATATGTATCCAAAAGGCTCAAGAAGTACTTCGCAGTGCATTTCGAAACCGCCGAAAAGAAGATTTCGTGGCAAACAGCATTCCAAGAATGAAAGTGATAATTTAGACGAGAGCGAAAAAATTAAGTACAGCGGGTACTAATAATATTATTGTGAATCCATTACGTTATTATAGAATCATAGAAAAAGAAAAACTTATAAGTCCATTTTGACTTTGAATCCGTATGGCGAAGATTGCCTCGTAAAAAAAGTGAGTGCGTCGGACACGTTCAGAAGCGGATGGGGACGCAGCTTTGAAATATAAAAAAAAGGAGAAGCTTGGCGGCAAGGGGAGATTGACCGATCTCGTCATAAAAAAATTAACCACTTACTACGGTTTAACCATAAGACGAAATGTAGATTCTGTGGGTGATATGAAAAAAAGCATAATGGCAACACTCTACCACTATTGCTCGACCGATGAAAAGCCGAAACATGGAAATTGCCCCGCAGGCGCCGACAGTTGGTGCAAGTGGCGCAAAGCTGAAGCCGCCGGTCAACTCGTAAACTATAAACATCCTGCTCCAGTTATAAAGCCTTGAGGTAAAGATATTGAGAAACACCTTACTTCGATCTATGAAGATCTTTCCAATGAAGATCTTTTGACTAGATGTTTAGGCGGGCACACACAAAATTCCAATGAATTCTTCAATTCGACTGTGTGGCGTATCGCTCCCAAACACCTCAATTCGGGCTTTAAAATTGTTCAAATCGCTGCATATTTGGCTACTGGCATCTTTAATGAAGGCTACACTGCCATTTTATTAACAATGCAGTTATTAGAAATCAATATCGGCCAGCAATGCAAAATGTTCGCTGATAATTATGATGCGCAACGAGTTACGAGAGGGGAGCGGCGCCGAAGCAGCACGACCAAGGAAGCTCGCACAGCTCGTAGACTGGAGCAAATGCAACGAAACGAGTTTTATGAAGAAGCTGAAGGCTTGCAGTATGGCCCTGGTATAGCTGATTAGCATAAGATTGCGGTAAGTCTCCAATAAATGATATTTTTTTGTACCACAAACTTTAAATGCGTTTTTCTCGAAATATCATTTTCGTACTTTCTTAAAATCTGCGGGAAAGATAGAGAAAAAAGTAATTGATCAATCGACTTGATTCAAAGTGCGTTAGCTAATTGCTGGGATGGGACGGAAAAATCAGAGAAATCTGGATAAAAATATTCACCTGTGTCTCTTGCGTTCTTCGGTAATAGATTCGTCGATCCTCCGTGACATCCGATCCTCCTGTGATGACCTAAACTTGTAAAATGTCCGGGAGACACCGTAAAGTCGACACAGAGTACCAATTGTTTATGCCCAGAAATCGAAATTATTTGCCCGTTTCAACCGATTTTTGAGAGCTACGCCTATTTCTCTTGTTTCTCCGCTCGTCTAAAGGTCGTTACAAGCAAGGACGGTCACGCCGCCCAGGTATAAGTTGTCATGTACCACACGAGTTAACGCAAAAAAACCTCATGGACCGAATTTCCATCTGCGAATCGCTGCTGAATTGCAACAAAATTGACCCATTTCTTGAGCGGTTGGTCACTGGTGATGTAAAGTGGATCACTTACGACAACGTCAAGCGAAAACGGTCGTGGTCGAATCGCGGTGAGCCGGCGGAAACGGTGGCCAAGCCAGGATTGACGGCCAGGAAGGTTTTGCTGTGTGTTTGGTGGGGATTATCTACTATGAGCTGCTCCCCTACGGCAAAACTCTTAACTCGGAACTGTATTGTCAACAATTGGACCGTCTGAAGGAAGCAATCGCCCAGAAGCGGCCAGCTTTGGCCAATAGGAGAGGAATTGTGTTCCATCAGGACAACGCCAGGCCACACACATCGATAGTGACTCGCCAGAAGCTCCGGGAGCTTGGTTGGGAGGTTCTTATGCATCCACCTTATAGTCCGGACCTGGCACCAAGTGAATACCATCTGTTCCTGTTCATGGCGAACAATTTTACTGGTGAAAAATTCGCTTCAAGAGAGGCTTGTGAAAATCGACTGTCTCAATTTTTTGCCAATAGGGACGAGGGCTTCTATGAGAGAGGCATAATGAAATTACCTTCAAAATGGCAACAAGTTATCGAACAAAACGGCGCATATTTGACCTAAATCGGATCATTCTAACTATGGTAATTAAAGCCTTCAATTTCATGCAAAAATAATGGATTTCTTTTTACTACACCTGATATTTACTTAAACATATATTATACATAACTGTAGTTAGAAAGATGCAACTGTAATATAATTTCAATTTACAGATATCGCAGAAAATTGCCACTTCACCGTTCACAAACCCTTTTATCAGTTACTCCAACATCGTCTCGAAGTCATCGTGTGTCGTCACTTCCTGAGGCTATGAGAAGAAACATCGTCGCCTTCGTGTTCCGCCATTTACGGTAAACACCATTGTGAATCTAATTGGCTGTTTCGTTTTGTCTTGTGTGATAAATAAAAATACGTTCGTATATTGTGTTATTTTTTAATAATTACCTTCACGTAATGTGCATGACTGAATGGGAAGAGGGAAGGGGAGATGTAAAAATGAATATAGCAGCATCTGTTGTATTTCTGTCACCAGTCTGCTGTCAGGCTGTGAACGGTAGGATCTGTTATGTTTCTGCCATTATTCTGGTGCCAGACTGCACACAGCAGATTCTACTGTACTACTGTGATCAAAAAATAAGGTGAATTTGTTTATAAAATGAAAAATTTTTATTCTTCCAAATCAATTTCATCGCCTTCAAAGTACTCCCCGTCTGACACAATGCACTTATGCCAAGGTTTTTCCAATCCCCGAAACAGTCAGGGAAGTCTTTTTTCGGTATGGCCTTCAATACTTTCTTTGATTCGGCTTTTATCTCCTTAATCGAGTCGAAACGGTGTCCCCGGAGCGGTCTTTTGAGTTTGTTCAACAGTCAGAAGCCGCACGGTGCAAAATGAGGCGAATACGGTGGTTATGGAACGATATGGGTCGAATATTTGGCGAAATGTTCTTGGAGAACCAATGCAGCGTGGAACGGTGCATTATCGTGGTGCAAAAACCAAGAATTGTCTGCCCATAATTCTGGTCTCTTGAGGCGAATAGCTTCACGCAAACGACGCATATCACTCAAATAATATTCCTTGTTAACAGTTTGATTTCCTTGACATGGCTTTCATCGGTAGGTGTTGATGGTCGTCCGGGGCGCTGTTCGTCTTGAACTCGTTCTCGGCCTTCTTTGAAGTCTTTGTACTACTTGTAAACATTTTTTTGCGATATAGCCTTATCATCAAAGGCCTTCTGCAACATCCTCAACGTTTCCGCGGCAGAATATTCATTCCGCAAACAAAATTTAATGCAAATTCTTTGCTCAATAAAATCAGACATAGTAAAAATCGCAAAACTCACTTTTGTATGTTTACAAAAACATGTATAGCTCTGCAGCAATTGAATATATTGACATGAAACTCTGCATAGATGTCAAAGATAGTGCTATCAACCCACAAAAAATAATTTCATGATTTTATAGTACCCGCGAAGTTTAAATGAAAAATTCACCTTATTTTTTTATCACAGTAGTATTTTTGCCGTCAATCTGCCGCCAGACTGCGTACGTCAGGATCTGTTACGTTTCTGCCGCCAATCTGCCGTCATAATATTAAACCGCGTTTGTTTGAATTCTGCCGCCAATCTGCCGTCAGACTGCGCACGGCAGGATCTGTTTCCTTTCTGTCGTCAATCTGCCGCCAGGCTGCTTAACAGAATCTGTTCAAATGTTGACGTCAATCTGATATCAAACTTCTGTAACATATTTTGTCTCAATGCTGCTAGCATTCTGCCGTCATCATCTGATATTGCAGAATCTGTATTAATTTTGACAGTTTGTCATAAACTCCTGTAGTAGGCGTCTGGCAAAATCTGTTTCGAACAGATTTGGTTATTAGGGTGTAACTGTTACGTAACTGTGTTTACTAGGAAAATATTAAATTGACATAGATCTGTTAAGATAATGATCTTTAAAACTTGATAAAAACGATATCAACTCACTTCTTTCTATAATAATTCATTACTCCTTAAATTACCAAAATGATGGTAAGTATTTCTTGCAGAATTAATAATGGTGATAGCAAGTTTTCCAATAAACAATCAGTAACCACTGCATAGAGCTGTTACATTAGAAGCTTAATAAATTTTTTTTTACATTAGAAGGTTAGTAAATTTTTGTCTGTAATATTTTAATATAGATAATCACTATAAATGCAAGTGTAACAATAATTTATATATTTCTTAAATAATCGGAATAAATATAACTCATGCTATTGTTCACGCGTCACATACAGGTACATCTAGATTTAAGTTTTGTTACGTCCTAGAGGAGGAACGCAAC